TACATAATTAAACTATAATTATTCTTGTATGTCTATAAATACCATAATTGACAGTTAGCTTTTCTCCATTCCTACTCTTTCTTTTATGAGCTTGTAAATACTTGTATTAGCTTCTTCCTACATGAAACTAAATAATAAAATTGAAATATTCTCTTCAACAGAAGCTATCAATTTTCAGTCAAATTTTGGATTTTAATAACTGGTAAGAGAGTGGGTAAGAAAATGCCAACAAATATGTATTTACACAACTCTAATGCACATTCATACTTCTTTCACAATCCTACAGAAATAACAGATACTTTCCCATCCTTGTATTTCTTGCTTCATCTTCTACTTTGTACAATAAAAAAACATAAATCATCTCCAGACAAAAAAAAAAAAAAAAAAAAAAGTTAGAACAGTGCCGATGAGCTCAAGAAATCACCTAACCAGTTCTTTGGATATTAGATAGCGGAAAGCGAAGTTGTGTTGGACCCACTCAATTGACTTGCGAGATTTTCCTACTTGACACTTCTTAACACTCTTCCTTAACGATTCAGGTAAAGACTGTTGGATCATCTCCATAACACCTACTGGACATAAACCTGAGTCTTTTGCAAATGATTCCACAATCTTTGGTAAGAGAATTCTCTGGTCCTTGCGTATGCCAAAGGTTGCGCGGATATACTCCTCTTTTGCAGTTTCCAGCTCTTGGAATATTCTTTTTGGGGTGTAAACACGAACCTGCAAATGCCATAATTTATCCTTTGTGAAGGGAAAGTACTGAAAAAGCTTTTGAAGAGAAAATAGTAGTTATATGTGTTTTTGCATCATATGGTGTGGAATATCAGATTTCTTAGGTGGATGGATAGAGAGGATACCGGAGAAGTATGGTAGGTTATGTAATAACTTGATTCGGTGACAAGAGTTAGTTTGGTCAGCTAAAGAGTAATTTCAAGCAAACATTACAACTTGGTGCTGAACGTTTTAATGCTCGTGGTATTAGAAATAAAATCAACAAGAGACCAAATATAAGGTACCGCAGGATCAGAATGGCTGCCTGAACATAGCGAAAAGTATAGAAGGGGCTCTGGATGCTCAATTGTATAAGCCTGCCGTTCATCTCCAGCTTTGAATTTTCTCATAGCAAGTAATAATCGAAGCCACTACATGTAGATTAAAACTTCGTAAGTCCCAGAACAAACATTAATAAGTACAAAGCTTTCTAAGCAAATTAGAAAAGGATGAAATAAATAAAGACATTTTGATCTTATGAAGAAATCCAAAAAAGAAAGTGAATTTTTTTCTCTATTTTAAAATGGTTAGATGGAGAAGATAAGTTGAATCATGAAAGACACGAAAAAGTATTTCTGCTGTGAAAAAGTTAGAAAAACAATATCCACTTTTCAACCAGCAAGAAATCAGGGTTGGCTAAATGCAGAAAAAGTTAAAATTAAGACCAGCCACAAGATGATCTTCATAATCTATCGCTTCGGTCTACCTGTCCAGGACGAGACAACCGGCATCCAAGAATTGAACGTTGTATGGTGTCTGCACTCACTGTGCGGCCCCCAACATTATACGCAGCCTGCATGATGCAACAGCATGGCTGAATTAGGAAACTGTCAACACTTTCAACATACTCCATAAACAAGATATTCTTTTTTTAACCTTCAATAGCAGAAAGAGTCTCTTCACATTGTTTTGTGGAATACCATATGCCAAAAATGCCTGTCAGAAACAAAAGAAGAAAACTTATTACGATCCACTAGCATCAGAAATAGGAACTAATCAATGAAAACAATTACATGCATCACTAGTGCGTTGTGTATGTTAATCCAGAAAGCAAGCTTCTCTTCATGTTTCAACTTCCTAGGGTCCACTTCTTCCAATCGACTGATAAGCAACCTGCATCAGGATAACTCAA